TGCACCTGCAAATAATGCAGATGAAGAGAAGAAGGAGGAATTCTATAGACAACTGCAATTAATACTAGAAAAGACTCCAGTTGGCGACATCATGTGGTGACATCAGTGCAAAACTCGGAGCGGACAACACAGGAAGAACAGAGAACCACTCGGTGAAATGAATGCGATCGGAAAACTGTTTGCAGATATCTGTGCATTCAACGATTTAGTGATCGGAGGCAGTGTGTACAAACGCAAGGATATTCACAAAGTAACATAGACTTCACCAGATGGACACAATAAAAATCACACCGACTTTATCTCAATGTGAAGAGAGTGGAGACGCAGCCTACTTGACACAAGATGAGATCAAGAAGGGGAGCAGATGTAGGTTTACACTACTCACCGCCTAGTGCAAGGAACCCACCTTTTAAATCAAGTTGGAAGCTTTCAAAGAAGTTAATGATAGACCGCAGTTCAAGTTCAACACCCAGAAACTGAAGGGCGAAACTACAAAGGAAATCTTCACGTCAGCCATCAGAACAAAATGGGAGATATCGAGCAACATCCTTGAAGAAACCTGTATGGATAAACACTGGAACTCTTTGAAAGCTGTGTGGAAAGAAACCTGCACAACTGTATTGGGAAAGAAGAGGAAACAAGACAAGGAATGCATCTTGACGGACACATGGAAGCTGATAGAGGAGAGGAGGATGGTGAAGCAGAAGATGAACCAGTACAAGGATGCACAACGAGAAGAAGAACTGAGTGCAACGCATAAAACACTACACTGGACAAAAAAGTGAAGAAGAGTGCTCAGAAAGACAAAAGACACTTCTACGACACACTTGCAAGTGAAGCGGAACAGGCTGCTGGTAGAAGAGACCTGACAACACTTTATCAGATAACCAAGCTACTATCTGGGAGATCAACGCAGATGAGACCAATGAAAGGTACAGAAGGGAACCTAGTTCCCAAAAGAGAAGAGACAAAGGAAACGATGGGCTGACCACTTCAAAAGGCTCTTGAATTGACCAACACCTGCACTCCGTGCAGAAATACCACCTTCAGCCCAGCCACAGAAATACCAGTGAACACAAATCCTCCGACAAAAGTCCTGAGAGCCATAAAGCTATTGAAGTGCGGGAAAGCAGTAGGACCAGATGGAATCCCACCAGAAGCACTGAGAGCAGACACAGGGACAACAGCGGACATGCTCACACCACTACTGCAGAAGTTTTGGAAGAAAGGAAAGAAAGGTACCTGGCGATCGGAAGAAGGGCTACCTTATCAAACTCCCAAAGAAGGGAGACCTAAGTCGTTGCAAGAACTGGCGCAGAATCATGCTGCTGGCCCTGTCCACCCCAAGCAAAACATTAGGCCGCATCATCCTGGAGAGACTGAAAGATGCTCTGCATTCAAAATTACCACCGGAACAGACTGGCTAGCTTCAGGAAGAACAAATCGTTTGCGGATCAAATTGCAGTGATACGCTACGCATCATCGTAGAACAGAGTAGAGAATGGCAGTGGACTCTACCTCAACTTCATCGACTTTGAAAAGGTCTTTGATAGCATCGCCCGAGAGGTAATTTGGTGGTTTCTTCAACACTACGGTTTTGTTGCCACAAACCTTTATCAATCTCATTCAGCAACTATATGAAAACGCTACATGCCAACTAATTCACAATGTAAAGCTCAGTAACGCCTTTGAATTGAAGACAGGAGTAAAACAAGGCTGCCACCTATCACCGATGATTTTCCTGATTGAGGACGGACCGCGGAAAGGAGCCTAGAAGATTTACATTTCGCCGATGACTTGTGTCTAATGTCACACAAACTTGGAGATCTACGGGCGAAAACTAACAAACAGTGACGAGCGAGAAGATGGGCGTATGCTGACTAGACCGATGAAAAGGGCCTAGAAGATTTGGATTTCACCACCGACGATGATTTATGCCTAATGTCGCACAAACCTGAAGATCCACAGGCAAAAACTAACAAGTTGAATGAGGAGGCGAGGCGGCGAAGGAAGACGAGACTTCAAATGAATGTAGAGAAGACGGAGGTGATGAAGATCCCCAACCAACAGCAGCAACAAGCTCCAGTCACCAGCAATGGGAGAAACTAAGGAAAGTAGCCTCTTTCACCTAACTAGGCAGCAATGTTTCAGCTACAGGCAGCATAGACGAGGACTTCGAAGTGGCCAGGATCGGAAAAGCAAGACAGGCGTTCATTAACCTGAAACCAGCTCGGAGATCTGCATTCAGCACGAAGCACAAGATGTGGATTCTCAACACCAACGTCAAGTCGGTGCTCTTGTATGGCTCGGAGACTTGGTGCATTACGAAAGGGATTTCCAACAAACTACAGACATTTATCAACAACTCCCTACGCTCGTCACTAAAGATCAGATGGCCAGAATGGCGAGAATAAGAAGCAAGGAACTCTGGCTGGCTGGCAACGAATCAACTAAGAACCTATCGCTCAACAAATATGCAGTGGAGAGAAGTGGAGATGGATCGGGCATACACTGAGAAGACCGACTGGGGACACCACGCACCGTGCCAGTTCATCGAGCGGAACACCGATGGGAGGCGACGAGTTGGGCGTATGAGGCGGGGGTGGTGTGGAGATCGTGCAAGGAGGAAATGAAAGCCTCTGGGCTGTCGTGGAGCCAGGTTCAAAAGTTTTCAGAGAGCACAGAGCACTGGGGACGTGCTACTGGAGCCCTATGTTCCATTAGGAACCCAAGATAGAAATAAATAATAAAGTAATATTCCTCATATGATGGATATAACATGAGATACGGTTTACAGATATCGTCAAATCTATAATTCTTGAAAGTTTACAAAATAGTATTTGGCAAAAAATACACCACTTTTCAAGTCGCTGACGTGCATGATCTTACCAAAACTCGCTGCAATTCACGAGATGGTAGTGGATTTTCTTCCGTCTGAGATTTGGGTGGGATCTGCTCAGAACTAACCGAACTTGCAAATTTTGACCACCACCTTTTACTCCCTCTTCATTTGTACATAGATTAACCACCACAGGAATTATTCATCGACGGATTTTAGACGCGAAAGCGATTTCGGCGGAAGCGCTATCAGTTCCGTCAATGACCATTTGAAACCATTTGAAACATATCGGAAAGTTTCTATTCATCCACTCAGCATACCACACTGTATAGCCCACGAGGTTATGCACCGAGCGAACCATCCTAACAGGAAATTTTCACTCCAGAGTTGATGGTCCGTGAATAGTCCAAACAGTGTGCATCACCGGATTACAAAAACGATAACTGGGTCTAATTCCTTTCACGGCGTGTGCCCATTGGAACGCTGTGTTGAAACAGTTAATCACAATCCCACCCATTTGACTCTTTCAAGCTAATGCTAATGAATAAATTGGCACATACTGCGCACCAGCAGTATAAGCCAGGAGCAAATGAATGTACGGTAGTCTGCCATTGTGCCGCCCACTGTGACATATGCACTTTGGACCATACCTGTTTTATATTTTTACCAGCAGCTGCTGCCCTGCATCAATGCTGTTCACATTTCCCATTTCCTCTGCCCACGCAATTTTCCACATTAACTGTAGAGTGGCGTCTGAAACCTGCCGGAGGCACCTATAAAGGAGATTATTGCAAAACGTTCGTTGATAGTATCACCAACCTTGTTGCTCGCCGAAACAAACTGACACGTACTCTGAAAAGGAACACCAGATAGGCAATCAGTGCTTCTAAGGCTATTAGCAGGTGATCTGAAAGACTTCTGGAACAAAAGAAGAAGTGTAACTGAATAAAAAGGAGGTTGTGTCTGGATAATAAGTTTCCTCAGCTTGCGCTTTTGGTATCCGATACTTCATGTAAGCCTTGTCTAAGCCAATGACCAGCAATCCAACCCCGACAAGACCCTCGAAAATGAGTCCGATTTGAAGCTCAACTTCTTCGACACGTTGAACACAAGATGCAACTACAAAGTCGCGGCGACCAGAAACAGCACCACTTTGCAGTTTCGGCGTAGTTATTTCGGTGCCCCACCCTTGAATTTTTTCTCACAGTTTACAACTCACACCCACATCGACAGCTAGGGGACTTCAGGGTGGCGGAACCCTGAACACTCAAGGGATGCTCTAGTCTCCTTGAAAAAATATGAGGATCCGAGACAAAATCACTTGTGGGGCTAAAGCAGAAGGCATACGCTGGCAGACGTAAGCACCTAAACCTATTCCCCTGGGCTATCGCAGGAAGAGGGATGACCTAGTTTTGGCCTACAAGATCATCCATCGGGCAAACCACGCAACAAAATTAGCCTTGCTTACAACACAGCGGTCATCACGAGGAAACCCCATTAGGATAGAGCATCAGAGAGCTAACATCGTGCTCAGGCCCAACTTTTTCTTACTGAGGGTACGTGCTTTATGGAGTGCCCCAGAGTGGGATGTAGTCATAGCCCCCTTGGTAGGCCCATCCAAAAGATGGTCATGCAGCCATATCATTTTGGATGGTTTACCACGGCAGTATTCAAAGAGTAAGTTACCTCACTAACTCACCATCACTTCCTTTCTAACTGCCACTCACTACGTCTCTTCTTAATACACCTAAATTGTCTACTAACTTTTCTATAGCAAACAGACCCATGCTATCTTTTTTACCTTTTGGGTAATCCCCACATGCTTCTCACTGTCTTGCTATTCCCACTCAAGCACCTACAGAGACAGGAGTTACGATAGACCCCTAACCTTTCCAGAACCCCGCAGCTCCCTAATCACTCTACAGGCTGCAGTTTGCAAATCCACAAAATATCCACCTCACCAACGTCAAAAGAATGAAAGCAGAACAGATATATTTATTTACAGCAGGAACAAAGCGAACAACTTGTACCAAAAAATATCAGTTTCCTGTGCTCATATTTTCAATGTCAACTGTTCTTGGATATGGCTAAGATGATTTCAATACATAATACTATAAACGACTAATCTGTATTTCAGATCCACGAAGATTGGAGAATGATCGACAAGCGCGCTATATACTGTAGACGTTACTAAAATAGTTTTGGTTTGATGAACAATTTCGTTAGTCTGGTGATTGCTCATCATTTGATGGTCATATTCATCTTCACCCAATAAAGCTTCGGATAACGTCTTCCATCTTATGAAGATTTGTTTATGACAATGTTAACGGTCCTACAAAAGTCTATAAACCCAGTCAAACAGGAATGCTAAAATAATGCATGCGAATGCGGAAATAATGCAGGTGAATGCATTGATTAGGAATGCTGAAGCAATGCTAAAACGAGACACTTAGACGGAGTTTTACGGACTACCCGCATTATCTACACACTTTCAGAATAATTTAAGCGTGCATGCGTAAACGCAGCTTTATTTACTCGCAATTCCCACCTTATTTAAGCGGTTTAGGGAAATTTTTAGGCAAAATTTCTATGACTTACTTCTTGCTCGCAATATTAACACCATTTACCCCATTATTTACTCATTCGCCCGCATCATTTCCTCAATATGGTTTGACTGGAAACGTATATAGTTAGCATGGATCCATCAACAAGTCGACTTGTGGTGCATGCGTTACTTTGAATTAATTCTGTTCTTTAAACATGACCTGACACTGGTAGTCGCTAAGCAGTTTCTGTCATGCTCTAAGCAGTCCCGGAGATTTTCGAAGAACTTTCAACATTGCTCACTGTTTCCATATGGAAATCTCAAATGTTTCAGTCCCGTTTTAAGCCCGAAAATCCCAAAGCACACCCAAAGTGTTTCTCAGCTGGGATATATATATATATATAATGCATTGGATTGCTGAAATTATTGTGATTGTTTTTTCATCCGAAGTGTTTGTGGTGTGTGTTGAAGCTAGCAAAATATTAATTATGTTACACCTTCTTGGTTGGTTGATGGCTTCTTAATCGTTTTGGTCAAAGTATTCATTATAATGCATTGCCTCATTTTTTCTTCCTTCATCCCTTTTCCTTCATTTTTGTTAGTTTAGTGCTGTAAGTTGTTTCGAATTGTTTTGTATACTTCTACGTCTCAGAAAACTTTGGCTGACTAGGTGCTTGGCCGGATGAGTCTAGCGCTCATTTAAATGGGACTGAGTTTTTTTTAACTTTAAGGCCATTCTAAATTCGGTGCATATGCCTTAGGGATTGATGCCGAATAGATGAATTTCCTTGGGATATGGATGAAATATTACGGAAAATGACACAAGTATTTGCATGGAATGAAATCATACATTTATTATTACTATTATTATTATTATTATTATTATTATTATTATTATTATTATTATTATTATTATTATGTTTACAGCCATCGCTCTCAACAAAATAGTCCAGTTTTGTACATACTACTCATTTCTACATTTTACGTCTACTGTTTGATCAGTTTCACAAAATTGGACATCCAGTTCTACTATTTGTAACGTAGTTTGTCTGTAGCTTTTTGTGCTCATGTATGTGGAAGTTATAAAAGCCGGACACTCTTATTTGTTCTCAAAGTTCTTTTTCTTCTCTGAAAATGGTTTAGAATATCTTGAGACCGGATTTGATGGCGTTGATACACCACTTCTGTCATCGGAAGACTTTTTTACCTCAATCGTTTTCATTGCCTTGCTAAATGAACGCATTACCTTTATTAAAATCGTAGTAACTTTTCACAATTAACTGAAAATGTACATAGTTGATACCCTTTTTCATGAGTTTCAACCCACATTATGAGAGTTACGTATCCTCGATTGGATACTGTGTAAAATATGTTTCTAGCTAGTTTTGGAATTGATTTCAAACTTCTGCTGACCCTTATCGACCATCTTTTGAGCAGTAGACATGCCAGGTATCCTAGTTCATCATGCATTTAGATTCCTCGATGAATTTGGGCGAAGCAAAAAAACTACATTTGACGAATAAAATGATGTGGTTTTATTTCATGTATACTCAAAATACCATAGTAATTAGCACATAAGATTATGTAAAATTGGAAGATCGAGTCTAAAGTTATACAGTAAAATCATTGACAACCTATCTACTATGTAAAAGAATTGTACAGAGAAGTGAAAATGTAGGAAAGGAAAATAGGGCTTCAGTAGTACACCTCCATTGCACTCTGTTCCCTGTAGTCTTTTGAACCTGGCTCCACGACTGCCCACAGGCTTTCATTTCTTCCTCACATGATCTCCTCCATGTCACCCTCGCCTCGGAGGCCCAACTCGTCTGTCCCCCTTTGGATTCCACTCGAGGGCCTGGTGCGTGATGTCTCCGGATAGTTTTCTCGGTGTATACCCAATCCAGTCCATCTCATATTTGTTGGGTGATAGGTTCTTGGTTGGTTCGTTGCCAGAGTGCCTTGTTGCTTATTCTGGCCAGCTGATGTTCAATATCGAGTGAGCGGAGACGGCAGTTGTTGATGAATGTCTATAGTTTGTTGGAAGTGCTTTTCGTGATGCGCCAAGTTTCTGAACCATATAGAAGCACTGACTTGACTAAATTAGTGTTGAAAATCCGGATCTTGTACTTTGTGCTGAGTGCAGTAAATTGCCACACTGATTTCAGATTAATGACAGCCTGTATTGCTCTTTCGATCCTGCTTTTGACATCCTCATCTGTGCTGCCTGTAGTTGAAGTGATTCTGCATAGGTAGGTGTAGGTGAAAGAGGCTACTTCCTTTAGGTTTCTCCCGTTGATGGTGGTTGGTGCTTGTTGTTGATGCTGTTGTTGCTTGGGTATCTTCATCACCTCCGTCTTCTCTACATTCATTTGAAGTCTCGTCTTCCTTCGCCGCCTCGCCTCCTCATTCAACTTGTTAGTTTTTGCCTGTGGATCTTCAGGTTTGTGCGACATTAGGCATAAATCATCGTCGGTGGTGAAATCCAAATCTTCTAGGCCCTTTTCATCGGTCTAGTCAGCATACGCCCATCTTCTCGCTCGTCACTGTTTGTTGTATGATCCAGTATACCACAATCAGGAAAATCATCGGTGATAGGTGGCAGCCTTGTTTTACTCCTGTCTTCAATTCAAAGGCGTTACTGAGCTTTACATTGTGAATTAGTTGGCATGTAGCGTTTTCATATAGTTGCTGAATGAGATTGATAAAGGTTTGTGGCAACAAAACCGTAGTGTTGAAGAAACCACCAAATTACCTCTCGGGCGATGCTATCAAAGACCTTTTCAAAGTCGATGAAGTTGAGGTAGAGTCCACTGCCATTCTCTACTCTGTTCTACGATGATGCGTAGCGTATCACTGCAATTTGATCCGCAAACGATTTGTTCTTCCTGAAGCTAGCCAGTCTGTTCCGGTGGTAATTTTGAATGCAGAGCATCTTTCAGTCTCTCCAGGATGATGCGGCCTAATGTTTTGCTTGGGGTGGACAGGGCCAGCAGCATGATTCTGCGCCAGTTCTTGCAACGACTTAGGTCTCCCTTCTTTGGGAGTTTGATAAGGTAGCCCTTCTTCCGATCGCCAGGTACCTTTCTTTCCTTTCTTCCAAAACTTCTGCAGTAGTGGTGTGAGCATGTCCGCTGTTGTCCCTGTGTCTGCTCTCAGTGCTTCTGGTGGGATTCCATCTGGTCCTACTGCTTTCCCGCACTTCAATAGCTTTATGGCTCTCAGGACTTTTGTCGGAGGATTTGTGTTCACTGGTATTTCTGTGGCTGGGCTGAAGGTGGTATTTCTGCACGGAGTGCAGGTGTTGGTCAATTCAAGAGCCTTTTGAAGTGGTCAGCCCATCGTTTCCTTTGTCTCTTCTCTTTTGGGAACTAGGTTCCCTTCTGTACCTTTCATTGGTCTCATCTGCGTTGATCTCCCAGATAGTAGCTTGGTTATCTGATAAAGTGTTGTCAGGTCTCTTCTACCAGCAGCCTGTTCCGCTTCACTTGCAAGTGTGTCGTAGAAGTGTCTTTTGTCTTTCTGAGCACTCTTCTTCACTTTTTTGTCCAGTGTAGTGTTTTATGCGTTGCACTCAGTTCTTCTTCTCGTTGTGCATCCTTGTACTGGTTCATCTTCTGCTTCACCATCCTCCTCTCCTCTATCAGCTTCCATGTGTCCGTCAAGATGCATTCCTTGTCTTGTTTCCTCTTCTTTCCCAATACAGTTGTGCAGGTTTCTTTCCACACAGCTTTCAAAGAGTTCCAGTGTTTATCCATACAGGTTTCTTCAAGGATGTTGCTCGATATCTCCCATTTTGTTCTGATGGCTGACGTGAAGATTTCCTTTGTAGTTTCGCCCTTCAGTTTCTGGGTGTTGAACTTGAACTGCGGTCTATCATTAACTTCTTTGAAAGCTTCCAACTTGATTTAAAAGGTGGGTTCCTTGCACTAGGCGGTGAGTAGTGTAAACCTACATCTGCTCCCCTTCTTGATCTCATCTTGTGTCAAGTAGGCTGCGTCTCCACTCTCTTCACATTGAGATAAAGTCGGTGTGATTTTTATTGTGTCCATCTGGTGAAGTCTATGTTACTTTGTGAATATCCTTGCGTTTGTACACACTGCCTCCGATCACTAAATCGTTGAATGCACAGATATCTGCAAACAGTTTTCCGATCGCATTCATTTCACCGAGTGGTTCTCTGTTCTTCCTGTGTTGTCCGCTCCGAGTTTGGCATTCATGTCACCACATGCATTGGAATTTTGATGTCGCCAACTGAAGTCTTGTGTAGTACTGGTTGAAGTGATGATTTGATGTGTGGCAGCTCGGAATGTTACGCAGTAATGCCTTGTCCTATGTTGATATTGATTGATTGCTAAATCGAAAGAAGGGATTTTAAACATCTTCTTTAAGCATCGATGAATTCAATATGTGTAAAACAGAAAACCCTCTAAAGACTTTATTTTGGTTATATCTTTGGGCATAGCATCTTTTATTGTAAATGCCAGGCATCGAGCTGGTCGCGATCTTCTGAACCTTTTTTAAGGCTTCCAGAGTTTACAGGATGTTTTAAGATCGGTTAATTACCTGTGGTTTCCCAAACTTAAGCGTGTATTATGCTCTCGTTTCTAGTACATTCTATGTACTGATGGCGAAAGTCATGTATTTCTATGTATAGACGTTTACTACGTGGCACTTCGTTTTCATTGTTAAATAACAGCAGTATTTCACACAAAAGCCATCATCACCTATCAACATAGGACCAGGCATAACTGCGTAACATTTCGAGTTGCCGCAGCTCATATCATCACTTCAAGTAAGAAGGCAGTAAAGTGGAAGATGAAGATGAGAAAATTCAGTTAAAAGAAACATAAAGTACGAAAAGAGAGAAGAGAAGGATGAGAAAATGGTGAGATTTTGTATAGCATCGTTAAGATGAGGATAATGTGTGAATACATCTGCGCCACTGATATCGATTCTGAGCCATATCACCCGACCGATAGCTGCTACCGTGACGTGGTGGTCGGGCTTGCAAACCGCAATGACTCAAGGAGCTATGCTAGTGGAACACTCGTTCCCTCGAGGTCCTACTATGCCAGAAATGTCTGTTGGATAGTGATTAGACGAAAGGCAGTTACCATTGTGATGTAAATTACTACACTATGATGGGTTCTGAGGGCAAAATCATACTACTGTAAGCTGGATAAGTTGTGACATCAGTTAGGTGTTTACCTTGTATAACCAGCCGTGCCATGTTGATGCTGCCTTCTCAGTGGAAGGAGAAAGCCAGAAAAGGTCGGCCCCAAAAATAAAACACCACCATACCCACGGCTTACCGGGCTGGCGGTGTTGGTTCATTTGTCGTTTCTTTTCGACCATCCGGCCCCAAAAATACTAAAGTTCGAAATAATCATGCACAAAAGGCTGCGTGTGACAGGCCTCAAGCAGATGTCCGATGGGCTCTATGGTCATACAAATCTCTTTCAGATACCTTAAGAAGAAATAGCTTTCCACGGTATGGGCAGCAGGGAAGTGTCAACCGCCCTCACAACTCTGTCAACACCCAAGTTTCTTCTGACTGCTATCCACCTTCCCCATCATTACCTTCTAATCTTCCTTCACGTCTCTCAACTAACGATACTACATCATCTTCAATTTCTCCTAGCTCTGTATCCTTCGACAACGATCTGAGTCATACAGTAGAACAGACCGAACTGCTGTGCAGTACACACCACCCTTAATAGACAATCGGATATCACGGCGGCGCCATAGGTGGCGTAAGTTGGCGAAAGCCAACCGAGCCTTATGCGTCCGTGCAGAGATTTCATCGGCCACTGAGCCACCAGGTTGGGGTTGATCCTACTTCCCAGGTAAGTGAAGTGGTCAACACACTGAGTCACTTCACTCTGTATTGTTAGCGTCGGTGGGGCACTGTTGAATACCAATTGTGGAGCAACAATTTGCATTTGGGTGGTGAGAAACGCATCCCGAAGATTCTCAAATTCCCACTGAAAGTGTTCAGAAGACTCTGCATCTTGTGAGCGTCTTCACCTAACAGGACTATGTCATTTGTATATTTTACGTCTAACGAAAATTCTCCACCGATTAGGTCAAACTCTGTGTAGTCAGGTGATGAGAGGGAGACCTCCATAAGAATATCTATGATAAAATTGAATAAGAATGGAGACAGTGGGCATCCTTGACGAACACTACTCGATGAGTATAGCTCCCTGGAAATCTCACTATAGGCTCTAAGACGCCCACAGGTGTGCGAGTGGAGAGCCTACACAAAAGACAAGGACTATTTCATTACTTGGTAATGCCTGGCTTGTGTTAATAAAGAAGAGCCCAATGGAGCAGGAGAGATTTTTTATTAGAAAAATACAATCTGTAGTAATAAAAGTATCAAGCATTTTAAGTGTCACATTTGCAAACATCCTCATTTTTGTCGTCCCACTGTTTGGTATTCTTACCATTCACATTTTTACTCGATATTGCGTCTTTTTCCCCGAAGCTCCACCATTCGATTGCTACCAATCGCTGTGTTTTACAGTGTTGCGCTATTTGTTGTTGATAAGCATTCTTATTAGCGACGTTCATTTCATTAGTATATATTCATCTGGAAATTTGCATTCTAGTGTATTCTACTTCGTTACACCTGTTGTAGTTTTATTTTCCCATTGAATGATTTTACTGCTAACTTATACAGTGAATTATTGTGAGAACTCATGAAAGTGTTTGCACAATATTGGGTGCAATCTTACTCTCAGACGTAAAAGGCAAGCTGTTTTGTGAAGTTTTGAAGGTTCTTTTTGGGTGTATTTGGTCATTAAATTTTGATTTGTTTCGTCTTTTATTAATGGGGTTTAATTTTTGGGAGGTTACTATCATCTAGGCAAACTTTGACATGGTTTCTAATGACATGTTTGTTTTAGCACATAGTTTAACTTGAGAATGGCTATCGAAGTGAAACGCTTAGTATTTTTCACATCAACCGCTCCTTCTGTTTCCTGTCAATTTGATGCTAATGTAAAAGTCTTGCCAAAAAGCAGACTACCACTTATTGTCATTTATCCTAAGCCTGCTTTTCAAAGAATAAAAGTTAGTTAATTTTTTCTAGCCAAAAGTTGAAGCCATTTCTCTCAAAGTTTTTCTGACTGTTACAGAATCAATTATATATATATGTATATATATATACATATATATCCACTTATTTTACCCCTTGTTTCTATTTTAGATACCAAGTGGAACATATAAATGCCAAATACAGCAAATACAGAGAATGTACTACGTATACTTGTATCCACTGATAATCATGTGGGATATGCGGAAAAAGACGGTTTAAGAGGTCAAGACTCTTTCCGAACTTTTGAAGAGATACTCAGCCTTGCTGTCTTGCACAATGTAGACTTGATCTTATTTGGTGGAGATATATTTCATGAAAGTCGACCTTCTATGCGATCTTTGCATGAAGTTATGCGTCTTCTTCGCCTTTATTGTTTGGGTGACAAACCCGTTGAGTTTGAATTACTTAGTGAAGGCAAAACAGTATTCGCTAATACAGCATTCCAAAATGCAAACTATTTAGATAGTAATTTCAATGTTGGAATTCCTGTGTTCACCATCCATGGAAACCATGATGATCCTTCAGGTCCTGGTGGTTTATGTGCTGCTGACTTACTACATACTGCTGGTTTAATAAATCTTTTCGGAAAGTTTGCATCTGTGGAAAGAATTGATTTGACTCCTATTTTATTGCGTAAGGGTAAAACACGTGTAGCTTTATATGGTCTTGGCTCTGTTCGAGAAGAGAGACTTCATCGATTGTTTCTAAATAATGGTGTAACTTTCTATCGTCCTACTGAATCTGTAGATGACTGGTTCTCAGTCTGTACTGTTCATCAAAATCGTGTTCAACATGGGCCTACAAATTATTTACCTGAACATTTCCTACCGGATTTTTTAGACCTTGTTATTTGGGGACATGAACATGAATGCCGTGTTGAACCTGAATGGAACTCCTCAAAAAACTTTTATGTTGTTCAACCTGGTAGTTCTGTAGCCACCGCTCTCTCTGACGGTGAAGCTCAAGATAAAGCCGTTGCACTACTGGAAGTGAGAGAAAAAGAGTTTAAGGTTAGTTGTAGTTCTTGAGTCAAACACTAGTACTTCATTTATAGTATTTAAATATTACTGATTGTATACTGTATGTTAGTTCAACTAAAGTGATGTATGTTGAATAAAGTGGATGATATGTTCTAGCTCTGATTTTATAAATCTCATCATAACCACGTTAATAATTGAATCTTCTATGTGGCTTTCTATTTATTTAAACTTACTGTTTTGGAAGCACTCTGCCCTGACTAACTTTATGTAGTACTTTAAAAGCTGTTTTCATGCATACTGTGTAGTTAGTTTCTAGTGTATGTTTAGCAATAGATGAAGATGAACGTTTGTCACCTGCACATAAGAGTGGTCTGGACCGAGTGTCTTGGAGGCGTTTGAAATAATTTGAAAATGATCGAGCATGGAGTTTAGGTTCTCTTATTTGTTTAACATATAGAAAGTACTAAGATTTTCCTAAAATGTTGATTATTTACTTAGCGCCTATTATTATATTACCATTGGAATGTAGTTTTGCCAGTGTTTCTCAAGGAAAGCCACAGCATGTGTAAAGACCATGTGATTTGTATTAGAGCAATAGTGTGGAATGGGATGATTAAGCGATGGTGGTCGATCGAAGGAAATTATATAGAGTGACACGGCTGACCGATTAACACTCACAAAAAAAATCGACCTAGGACTATCACCAAAACCCGAAATAATTGATTATTATGAAGGTCAACAAATTGATTGTAACTCTTATCGTATCATGAACCTAATCATTTGATCAAATATAAATTCTTGCCTAAATATTATGGATGGAAATGAAAATAATATGGATCACAGTCACTCAACTGAAAATATGCAATTGATTAGAAGTAAGAGAAATGGTTACAATATAACCAGTTAATTTAAACCAATGTATGGAAGACTACCTTATCGTGTACTTTATCCAATCGCATATCAACTGAAGTTGCATATACATGTGCTACACGTGACTAGCTCTTGCTTACCTTGGGACACCTGAAGGTAGATTAGATTGAAGGAAATTAAAAATGGTTGAATCACGACACGGTGCCATAAATGGCGCAAGTTGGTAAAAGCCAATCGAGCATTTTGTACCCATGCAGAGATTACTTCAGTCACTTAACCACCAGGTTGATCCGACATCCCAGGTAAGTGAATGGGTCAACATGCTCAGCCATCTCATTCCCTGTTTTTAAACGAAGCACCATTTAAGACCAGTCCTGGAGTAACAATTTGGATTTGGGTTGTGAGAAATGCATCACAAACGTTCTCAAGTTGCCACCCAAGGTGTCTAGAAGACTCTTCATCTTATCAGCATCTTTATCTAATAGGACTATTTTATCGGTGTACTCTAGATCTACCAAGAATTCTCTGATGATAACATCAATCCCTGTAAACTCATGATGAGAGAGACTTCCATACAGACGTCTGTGATGAAACTGAATAAGAATGGAGGAAGTCGTGGTCTTTAAGGGGCGCCGCTCAACGTACGCAACTCACTATGGACTCTAACACACCCATGGGTGTAAAGAGCTTTCAGTAGAGTAATGAATCTACTCTTTTCCTCCTTTCTTTGAGAGACTGCTATAAGAACTGTGTATTGACGGAGTCGAATGTCACATTCAGATCGCGAAACAGCTGGTGTTGGACGTCGGTAAGCACCTATGTCCCAGAACCTTATGGGGAATGAACACCTAGTTGATGCATCCATGGCCAGCTCTGAAACTCAACAGGTTACTTCGGGTTTACTCCAGTTAGAAATGTTATGCTTATGATAATGATTATCATAAGATCTAAGCTGGTTCCCATGTGGTTATCATAAGAATGTTTCTCTCCTTTCTTGAAGACGAAAAATCAATGGTTGCCATACGTTAGCTAACACTACAGTTAACCTGATTAACAGTGGTTGCCAACCGCTCATAAATGTCTCTTGTACTATCTTATCTAGTTCTGCTTGCCTTCTTGGCTTTAAGCTTTTGAAAGCGTTCTCGACTTCTGCAAAGCTGGAGCGCCTAACTCAGAGTTTCATTCGGGATCCCACTGGATAGCGGGCAACGGAATAGCAGCTGGAGGCCAGTTGTTCTGTCCCTCGAAGTGTCCTACCCATCGATTACCGCGAGTAAATCGCAGATCTATCCTTTTTCATTATAGTCTTGCCAAGAGTTGGCATTTTTGCTCCAGTTCCCTTGAAAATTCTGAATGCCTGTCTACTGTTAACTATCACCGGTGTCTTTTCTACCTCTTGAGCCTTCGCTTCCCATCACTTTTCGCTGCCATTGCGTAGAATTTTCGTTAGTCTATAGTCTAGTTGCTTCCGCTTCTCATTGTGCTCGGAGTTTGCATAAATGTGTTCACATACATCCGTTAGTACAGAAGAAGCTTCTGAGATCTACCGAACCTTCGTAACCACTTTCGAAAAGTTAGTTATGGTCTTTGGTGTTGTTTTTACATCAGACTTGAAATGGGGCCAAACTTCTGGGTGAGTGATATTGTTACGTTAAAATACCTGTCGAGCCAGTTTCTCATTGAAAGCAACCTTTGTTCTCTCATTGTCAAACTGCAATCGCAGTGATCTTGTTGCTACAGTTTTATTAAATCCATTGAGAAGCGAACATACACATGCTCGAAACGACGCATGATCAGTGTCCAAACACGCACTTCGGTGTTGACTGCATGTCTCACACTTATGGTCTGAGATGCCATAGTTTTGGGTAGCGAAACGTTTTGGTCGATTTAATGGATGGTGTGGGTATTGAAAGCTTCAACGTGCAGTTTAGAGAGCGGTTGCAAGAAAATACCGGTTCTGTATTATGAACGTGAATCTTTGTCGAGAGCTATGGAACTGAAGAAAATCAACAGTAACATAGGATTATTGGCCGAAAGACATAAAGAGGAGTTAGAAGACAAGGTTGTTGAAGGTTGATTGTGGGGTGAAGTAAGTTCATGGCTGACAGACTTACGGGGGTGATTGACACTTCCTGGTTACCCACACCATAGGAGATTTTTTCTTCTTCAGGTATTTGAGAAAGAAATTGGGTTAGCAATAGTAGTGCATGACCACAGAGCCCACGAGAAATATGCTTGAGGCCAGTCACACACGTCGTTTTTGTGTTTGTGGTTTAGCGTTGACTTATTTGCGTCCAGCTGAAACGCATATATCGCAGGAGCCAGGATACTGGGGAGCGGAGAGGAGTATGTCCTTTTTGGGGTCCACCTTTTTTAACCCTGCTTTGGGAAGGCCGCATCGGCATGGTAATTCTGGTCATTCGCCATAAGTACCTTATTGCCATCATAACCAGTCCGGCTAGCAGTACGATGTCGACTTCGGACCCCTATCTTAACATAGAAATCTAAGCTGTGATAGTAACTGCTCTTTGTTTCACCATTATCCTCTTAACCTTTCTGGTGTGGTAGAACCTCGAGGGAACTAGCGTCCCACCAGCATAGCTCTTGGGGTCATTGTAATATGCAAGCCCAACCACCACGTCTGAGTAGTAGTTGTCAGTTGGATAACAGCACAAACATAGCTAAAGATCAAGTCAATGATATGTTAAAATGTTCAAAGGACTTGTCGTTCTCACCTTTTGATTCTCTTGGTCCCACCATTTTTTCTCGATACCTTGTTGTATTTCTTAGTGTGTGCACCAGGAGTATGCAATAAGAATATGATACTTCAACCTTTAAAAGACCTATGAGTACTTTCAAAATACTGCTTCATCAGCTATTTCTTGCTGCCTAGGAATACTAGAAAATTAAGTTTAAACATATACTTTTATCGAAATTATTGACACTTTACTGCGTTTCTGGAGTTTACAGATTTATCCTCTATGTCATGACGTTTCACACTCTTCCGGATTAGGACTACATATTATTTCAAAATGCTTCTGCTCATTCAGGTTGTTTTTACATTAACTGTGTGGAATTCAACCATAGCTTGATCAGTGAAACACAGTTTTCATAGTAATTCGCATAATAGTGACTAAACTAATTTTCAAAATGGTATTCATCATGAACTGACATCAGCTGGAAAAACATTGGAAATCTGGGAGTACTGGTAGCTGTCTCATCCTACTGTGGGACTCCTCAGCATTGGGGACCTAGGATCCCACAAAGGATCAAACCCTGGACCTTCGGGTTCCACAGCCATCACGCTACCACCGAGCCACTAGATCGGAATCCAATGGTCCATATTTCCAACTTCGAAAGGTGATTCTTGAATTTCCAATGAGAAGTCGTAACTAATGGGACAAACCTGGTGAACATGAAGACAAATACTCAAAGATGACATTGGGTGATGATCTCTCTATGTCATGAAGTGACAGAAGTTAAAAATATAGGCCACTGGATTCCGACCCAGTGGGTCAATGGTAGCGTGCTGATCACAGAACTCGAAGGTCTTGGGTTCGACCCCTGGTGGGTTCATGGGTGTGCACTACTGAGTAGTCTCATACTAGGACGAAACAGCTGTGGAGTGCTCCCAGGTTTTCAGTGCTCCTCCAAGTGATGTTAGTCTATGATGAATACCTACTCGAAATCAATAAATCCCCACAAACCTCCAAATTCGTTTAGCTTGGTTTTGTTTGGTAATGACATTGTTCTTCAGATTACTCAAACAGTAAATGTATTGAAACGATAATTCAAAGTTATTTGATAAATAGTACTTTATGTGTGTTGTCCAACTGTTATGAAGCAGATAAAATATTTCAGTACTGTTCTCTTGAAGGAGTACAAAAGCACTCACTTGTAGTAAAGGTGATGCAATAAAACTAGTTCAAACGATAACTGTAGACTATAATCAGAAATAATTTTGTCCTAGTGAAGGTAAGTGATCGCATTAGGAAGTAATTAATTTATCCATCATGAGTCTTACTTCAATGAGTAAAGTTGAATAGTACATGGAATGGTTGAGTCAGTTCGATCCACTTGTATCAATTTAACACTGTTACGTGATACGTATTTCTGTCACGTGCTGTTTAAGTCGAAAGGTTCAGGTATACTTATAAATCTTTTTGAGTCATTGAATTACAATAAACCTGGTGTTAACGAAGTTGATTTTCAAGTAAATGACACACAAAACAGCATAAGATCGTGGTTTTATGACTTGACGACTTGTCGATTTGTTCATAGAGATACAACGCATATAGTCGCTACATGGTTTCTTACTGGGCTATGCACCACACTTATCATATGAGAGCTTAAAATACTACTAGTTCGCTCATACCAAAGTAAGCAAAGCGGGATCGGAAATCATGATTCATAGTTTGAAAGTCAATGAATCAAAGCTTCAATAGAAGTCTGAATTCGCGCTTTGTGTAGATGACTTGAAATAACTCACTTTCTTTATCCGTACGGAATGATGAATGATACTGTAGCTGTCTTGCATAGTTTGGCATTAAAGTCAATCATAGCTTGATAGACTGCAACGAAACAACGCCAAAAGTTTCTTAAAGGTATTCTTGTATGGATACGATCTATTCACAGACTTTTAACTCGAGATAAGTTACGACTCACTGACCATATACAAATAAATACGTCTTTATGAATGTGTATCTTTCTTTCAGATCACACGTTTACCTTTGCTCACTGTCAGACCATTTCTATTCCAAGATCTAGTGTTGCAAGATCATGTACCGAAATTGGATCCTAATGCATTTGATATAATGAAACAGGTCGAAAGTGTGTGTGATAAACTTATTGAATCAGAGATAAGTAAGGCTGTAGCTTTTTCAGCTAAAGCTTTGGCAAGCGAATTGAAATCGAACTCTGATAATTCAGTTGATACTAATGAGTGCGAATCGAATGAAAAGGTCAAAATATTATCAACTCAGAGATTACTTCCTCCAGCGGAGCCTCTTATACGACTTCGTGTCGACTTGAGTGGTGGATTTGAATCGTTTAGCACATTAAGATTTGGTCAGAAGTTTGTTGGTCGTGTTGCTAACCCTAAAGTGAGATATTATTTGGTATTTTATCATTTATTTTGCAGTTTGTTCATTTATTTATAAAGTGACACCGATCTAACAGTTGTAGGAAGGTAAGATCAATCTGGAAATCAGTTTTGAAGAAAAATTCAAGACAAAGACAACTGAAGGATATCTCAAATCGTTATTCATCGTAGACTGACATCATTTGGAGGAACGAAGGAAACCTGGGAGCACTGGACAGCTGTTTCGTCCTAGTATGGGACTCCTCAGCAGTGCGCATCCACGACCCCACCCTCCCCGTATCGAACCCGCGACCTTCAGGTCCCGCGGCCAACGCGTTACCATTGAGCCACTGGGTCTGAATTCAATACTTTATATTTCCAACTTCTGTTGGAGGATTTTCAGTAGGGCAAAATATCAAAGCTAATTAGGAATACACAAAAGTAATGCAGCAGTCTGTAATTATGAGTAACTAATTGTTTTATTAATACAGGGTGAAATGAAGATCTGGGCCGCAGCGGGTTTCGAATCGGCAACCACTGAGTTTCCAACCCATCGCTATACTAATTAAACTATGAGACCTGCCTAGTGATCAGATTTTTATTTTACTTCAATCACCAAGAGTTTTGCACGACTACCATGGGAATTCGTGATGTGTTAGCATTGCTTGATTACACTTACACTGACTGCCCAGTCAGGAATTCTCATCCCAATCTAAATCTAACTGAAAGAAACGAAAGTGCTGAAAATAGTATAATAAACGTTAGTACAATGTAACGTTCGTATTCTTGTCCATAAACTGGTATTTGTGTATTTAGTTCCAATTTCATTCTTTTGAAACTTTAATCTGTTCATGAGATTTCTTACTGCGATGTTTTTTCTGATGTTTAAGTGTATGAAGTTTCTCTTCTGAACAAAATCATAGCCTGTCAAGGAATGAACTCCCCACTTCAAGTTAAATTTACGCTTACCGTCTTCTCCTTTAAGACAGTTTTAGATATTTGAACACTTTCAAAAGCAGTAAGAAGACCATTTGAATAAAGTTTTTATTATATTACTGAAAAATATCATCTGCTTACGTTCCTTGGTCTCTGATTTCTGCCAAATTCTTTCTTGACAAAGCAGCAAAATGGTGCTAGAAGTGGAACCATAGGGTCTCCACTATCCCTATATGTACAGACGTTCATCATAGACTCCAACACTGAGAAGGCATATTACGTACCCTGTAAATAGGAAGTCTTTTAGTCTATGTGGTGTGATGAAATTCGATACAAGAACAACTTAACATTCTCAAACTCTATTGATTTAATAAATCCCTGGCGGTGTAAAAAGCCTAGTATCGCACGAGATACTGCGCATTCTGCAGTTATGGGAGATAATCGCTGTAGGGGGATTGACATAAAGGATTAATAAATATTCCATTCTGGTCACCGTTACAGAAGTGATCGTAGTTGGCCGGAGCACCGATCAAGTTAGTCAGAAAGCTAAGTTAGTTGATAGTGTTGAGAACCTGCACTGACTATGAGGACTGTGGAGTGTGTGATACAGATGGCAAACTGATCTCTACCCATAGCATATAGTGTTAGATGAAGTGGAATTAGGTCGTCGTCATCATCGTTATCAACATCTGAGTTGCCACACCTCATATCAGCACATCTAAGGTTAAATGGAAGCTAGGGGTCAGACAGACACACTGGCTGACACTGACTGACACAAACAGACCGATAGACAAAATCAGCGTGGAACCTCGCATAAAAGTTGCATCTGTCCAAGTTGCCACAGTTGACAGAACCATACAAAGAACAAGTGTATAAGACTTGAGTCTTGGAACAACCTCTTCAAAACCAAAGTGTTATTCACTACGCCAGTAAGTCATAAAGCCACATATAGTAAAAATGAAAATAATGCCACCTGCAGTTAATATGAACAACATCAGCTCATCTGACTCACTAACTGTTAAGAATAAACTATTTGATGCTGTAATTATTACGGATAAGAAATCAGCTGAAATAGCGCTTTTGCATGCATAAACATGCTGTTTCCTTTCAATTATTTGCTTACTTCTTACTCCTGATCTACCTGCTTACTTTATTGACCACCACATGACCCTACTAAGGGTCACGTGCACTCCACGACAGTCCGCTATGTTCTACTGTATGGCTGTGAAACATGGCCATTTAAAGTGGAAGATATGAGAAGGCTTCAAGTGTTTGACCACCGTTGCCTTCGTAGTGTTGAGCCGTATTCCGTGGTGTCACCATGTGAGTAATGCAGAAGTTAGGTGTAGAGTTTTAGGGAGAAGAGATAAATCAGTTGACGAGGTTATGAACCTTCATTGACTGAAATGGTTGTGACACGTGTTACTTATGTCTAGCCGCCGATTGCCTCGTCACACAATGTTGGCCGAAGTAGGTGCAGCCTGGAAAAAGGCCCGAGGTGGCCAGACTAAATCATGGCACCAATGTATGAAGTCTCTGACTATTGGTTTAAGCCATGTAGGGCGATGCAGACTAGGTGGTTGGTGTTCGCGGGACAAGAGGAATCAGTGGTTGGAGACTCTAGGGGATATGGCTGAGAAGCGATGTCAGTGGCGCAGATGTATACAGATATTATCCTCATCTTAACGACGCTATATTGAATCTCACCATTTTGTCATTCTTCCTTTAGAAACGTGAACTGCTATACTGTTTTACTTTGCTAAGTATATTTTTCTGTCCTTAAAAAATAAGTTAGAAAACTGGATTGATTATAAGTCAAGCTAAAACGTGCTCCATTTAGAGTAAAAAACTTTCAACAGACGATTATTCGTTAAACTTATGCTTGAAATATATCATAAAAGGAAATATTTACATTTTCAATTAGATTCATCTAGAAGTGAAATTGTATATCCAATTACTACAACACAATACAGATTTCAGCTATAAATAAGAAAATTTTTGCTGATTACATTTTGATGACAGTTTCTTTATACTGGTTGCAATGTAGTTGATTTGTAATGAGAACACAGTTTTAACTAGTATCTGGGTGTAAATTTTCATGTAAAAAAAATTTGTTAGTAGGATAATTTTCTCAGTCTATGCATTCTGCTTTTATGAATTTCTATACATTCTTATAGATGCTGAGGATATATACTGGTTTTTAATTAAGGGATGTCGTTATTAGTATCGGAAAAACACTGATGTATACCTGCGCCTAGCTTGTTAGTATTGAACTTGGCATTACTGCCTAACAGTTCACACGGCTACACGTCATATCAGCATGTTAAGCAAGTAAGCACCTAAGATTAAAGGCAGAGAAATAAGATAGAAAATAGTTAAAAGTGGTAGCAAATCATGTAGCGATAACGAGAAAAAATGAAGCAATACAGAAGTTCAGTATGATGGTCAAGATAAAAATAAGGGGTGCGTCTGTGACATTGGGGTCGATTGTGAGGCATATCACCTAAAGTCTACAACCACCTATTTTGATTGTCACAAGGGCCCCTACTCATTCGAAAGTATCTACATTCTCCTACAAGACTCATACTGCCAATTAGAATAATACCCAATTACTGAGGTGGAAGTAGATAGAGTGAAAGGCAGTAAACCTAATATTTGGGCACTGTGATGGACTTCGATTCTAGAAGGTAATTCCACATTAGACTAGTCTATTTGACATCGTATACAGTGATACAGTATTATTTTTAGATTAATTCGATATCACTGTGTGCTACATCAAGTAGACCAATCTAATATGGAATTATACACTACCACGTTGTCAAAATTTTGTACTAACATTAACTTAGAAAGTGTAGTTATGTAGTCAGTAGGTAGGTAGGTATTCGTCATTTTATGGAGCGATATACTTTCATAATTTAGTTCTAGTTGTAATATTGATCTTGGTGACAAGAAGAGGAATCCAGGACTCCCCTTTCGTCCTATTTAGGACTCGTCAGCTGGATATACTTGCACCGAAGTGAGTGATGGCATTCCTATTGAGACTCTAACTGAGTACCCATCGCCTCAAATGCTAGTGTTATCCTCTGAGTCACTGAGGCACAATATCCACCTATTGTGCCATCGGCTATGAATTGTTGTTGTGATACTTGTAATTTCCCGTTCTAGCTGTATCGATTGATTCTCTATCAAGTGTAAGTTTACTGTCTCTCCTCAACGTAAAAAACTTTTGGTGCTGTGAATATCTTGTTATATTGCGGGGTAGAATTGTGCAATATGCAAACACCAACCAAATCAAGCGATTTTCCTGAAAGTGATATAAGTGAAAAGTAGAAACATCTTTAGCGTAAATTCTTTCAAAGTATATGATCTCTGTTCTATTGTTTGGCTGTGAAATATTGCCATTAAAAGTAGGGGACATGAGAAGGCTCCTATTGTTTGACCACTGTTGCCTTCGCAGTATAAGCTATGTTTCGTGGTGTCACCACATCGGGAATCTAGAAATCAAATGTAGAGTTCTAAGAAGGAGAGGAAAGTCAATTGGTAAAGTAAGTTATGAACTTTCATCGACTAAGACGGCTGGGATATGTGTTATGCATATTTACTCACTGTCTGCCTCTTTGCAAAATGTTAGCTGAAGTATAGTCAGGTTAAAAAAAGGCTTGGGAGTGGCAAGACTAAAACGTGGTATGTGTGTATGAATTTCTTGACTGTTGATATGATCCATGTAGGGAGATGCAGACTAGCCGGTTGGGGGTGCATGAGTCAACATAAAAACCAGCGGTTGGAGATTCTAGGTGATATGGCTCAGAATCGGTGTCGGTGGCGCAGATGCATCCATACTTTATCTTCATCTTAAACGCTACACTGAATTCAGCATTTTCTCATTCTTCCTTCCTTTCTTTTATTACTTTTGACCGGTTTTTCTTTCTTCATCTTCCATTTTATTATCTTGCTACTTGATATGCTGATATGAACCGTTGTACAGTAATGTTAATATTGATTAGTTGATAAGTTCATGAGTCTACTTTTCTTCATTTTTAAATATACAAAAGGATTTAATCGTTTTTAATCGTAATCGTGAAAAATTGGCTGCTGCACAAGCGAATCGCGCTTTAAAATCTGGTTTACATAATAGTACTGTCTGTGATGATACAAATGAAATGGAAATTGACAATAAAAAAGTTGGATTAGACTCTGCTGAAGTTGAAGAGCTTGTACGTCATTACTTGATACAAATGGTTCAGTCTAAAGGACAAGCATTATCAGAAGAATTAACTTGTGGACTAAGCTTATTTACTACACATGAACTTGAACGTGGACTCCGACAATATGTAGACCATGGTATTTCTGATGCTATCAATCATACTTCTTTGTCTATCCTTAACAAAACACTTCGTCATCTCAGAATGCGTAAAGCTCCAGAAGAACGTATTATCGCCGACATTGTATCTTTTTGTTGTGCTAGAAGTGCTAAATTAGCAAAGAATCAAGACAGTGACAATGAAGAAAATGAAGGTTAGTATATTTTATGCTCATTGAAAAATTGAACAACTTTTGATGTATGTTTAATCATTTTTGCAATAGAATTTCATTCCTTATGATTGAAATGATTTCATCTTATCTTCAAATGGTCAACTGTCTAGTTGAACTTTCGGTGAGTTAGTGACTCAAGTGTTTGGATAGAGTTGGGGGGTCAGAACAACTTCAGCTGTTATTACTTGCTTTACATAGAACTGTTAGATATGAAAATCGAACGAATATACCTTGAGGAACAACAATGTGGCGTTTTTATAGAGTTCTTTTTCATTCATTTTGAATATATATTTTGAGGACTCTTCGTATTGTTGGTTAGGAATAACTTCTGTTTATTCAGTTTCTTGTCCTCTGTTGGCAGATGTGTATTCGTATGCGGACGCCTCGATACTACCTGAATAATGTTGTGGTTCTACTTGGCGATTAGCAGTGGAATCCAGGACGCGCGTTTCGTCCTACTCGGGACCTGTCAACTAAATATGCTTGCAGCCCAGTGAGTGATGGTGTTCCCGATAACATTTGAAACCGGTACCCGTCGCTTCAAATAACAGTGTTATTTAATGTGCCACTAGCCCATCTGCGAACAGACGTTGAGGAGTTCAGTCCGGTTTAGCGACGGGAAATTACAAGTATCAGTGGATAATAACTGACACCCGCTTCACAAGGGGTAGCTCTCTTGTCTCGATGGTCTAGTGGGTAAAAATTTGGCGTTTGAAGCGATGGATACTGGATTTGAGTCCCAATGGGGACACTATTACTCTACTTGGGTGCAGGTATGTCCAGGACGAAACGCGCTTCGCGGATTCCACTGTTAGTAAAGCTACAATCTAATGAGTAGTCAAAAAGTACTTAAAATAATGCATAGGGGACACCATTTGCACATTTAAAGGTTTGAATTATTATCGGTCCATCAGTGGAATGATAGTTTCTAATTACTTGGAGATTGATCTAAATTGATATTACACTGTCTCTGTTCTCGTGCAGTATTCAAATTTGTCAAACTATTGAGGGTCGATGAATATTTGGTATGTCTATTCAGATTATCATATCGAGTTCTCAAAGTCTTCATAACCAAAGCTAATCAATAAGCACAGTAGATGAGTGGCTTGTCCAAGTCTTACCAGTAATTTTGAGGAAGGCATAGACTCTCTATTACTCGAGATAATTTACAGGTTCACCTCTAGGTAGGTTTCTTGAGGTTCTAGTAGGAAGCCATGGCCTGTAGAGTTAATGACGTCTTGTGTAATGACATGGATTTGATGATCGTTGCAATACGTCATAAGTTGACAGAAGTAGAAAAGTGTAAACTGTCGAATCTGAACCCAGTCATGGGCTGGATTCCTCTTGAGGTTGTGTTACGCACTACTGATCAGTCTCACACTAAGATGAAACACCTGTACTTCCCTGCTTTCAATGTCATTGCATGGGGTAAATCACTTGAATAATCACGTACAAGTTTGTGTATAACGTACTGTATGAAGGTGAATTTCATCATATGTCAATATATCTTGAGTACGATGTCCAACCTCTAAATCAAATGAGAAAAAATCGAGCATTTCACCCTCTAGCGCTAACTTATCGGTCTATGCGAACCAGCTATGTAGCAACAATGAACAGATTTAGGAATTTCAACTTGTGTGCAGGGTATCATCACGCTGTCATTCGAGTGGTCCTGTTGGACTTTTATTGAGACGGCCTTACTCTGGTAATTCCTTCTCATGTGATTGTTAAGTGAGTTTCAGCAAAACCTCACATTTTAGCTGTACTCACCAATGCTATGATGGGATTTGGCGTATTTTACTCCTTCATCATAGAATTCACATAACACATGTAAACGCATTGTTACTCTCTGAATTCCCAAGTCAATAAACTTGTCACCTTAATGTAAGTGCCGATTCACACTCTACGTTTTGATGTTAGGTGATGATTGAAGATGAAATAAAAATTTAGACCACGGTCGGATTCGAACCAGCGATTACTGAGTTTCCAGCCCATTGCTGTACTAAGCTGTAAGACACTGCTGATGACCAGATTTTTATTTCACTTCAATCACCAAGAGTTTTGCGCGACTACCATAAGAATTTGTGACGCGTTACTATCGCTTGATCATGCTCACACTGACTGCCCAGTTATGACCCGGTGGTCACTGGTTCGAATCCTACTGTACCCCAGATTTTCATCTCACCTTCAATCATAACCTAGTATCAATATAGCAAGTCTACCAAACCACGACTATCTCATTCTGATAGTTAAAATGATTTTGCTCATTCAGTTTTTTTCTCTCCAAGAGTAACTTCTAATAAATATAATTATTCTACGTGCTAATCTGACAAAGCCTTTACGCCTAAAGCATACATTCAGTCAACGTATCACTTCTGAAGTGGGTAAGGTTAAAATCATGCTTTCTACTAGAGTAACCAATCAGACAAACTCTATGCCCCATAGTGTTCCGAGTTCGAGCCCCAGTAGGATCAACATTCATTTGGAGACAGGTACATCCAGCTGACGAGTTCCAAACAGGACAAAACGTGCGTACTGGATTTCACTGTTACCCGTTATCTACCATTAATCTACGTCCTATACTTTCACCTTTAGATCTAAACGTTGGCCTTCTTAATGTGTGACACTCGTATTTGAAGAATAGTAATCACTAGTCTATTTCAGTAACTAACTGCGCAAATGCATTCCAATCGTAAGTCATACCTATTACCTAAATCACTGCCTATCGATTATAGTTCTAGCCGTTGACTCAATGGTTGAAAGTTGAGTGCTAACACCAGTAAGTCGCAGCTTCACGTCTTCTGAGAGGTCACTACAGTAAGGTTCCCATTGTTACTTGTCATTTTTATCATTTCTCGAGTCCTCATCAACTGCTTGTTAGTTTTGTATGTGTGTGTGTGTGTGTGCGATTTTTAGATATTGTTTTGCAAAATATATTTCAGATAGTCCCACTAAACAATCTACTAATCCAAAGAGTCAACCCAAAACAAACCCTAAGTCAGTTGAGCGTCAGGCATTGGAATGGAGTCTTGAGGAGGATGAAGATGAACAAGTTAGTGATTCACTTCATATCGCCTTTGGATTCTTTTTACAAACATTTTTTTTTAAATGATGACTTTTAGAATTAAACAACCCTGAATATAGTTGTTCTAGCGTATCGGAATACATTAGTGTAGTAATAATGTCGAGTGGTCAGAGGTTTTATCTAAACCTGAACAGTATTCCTCATCGTGTTCACTAAGGATTATACACAACCGCACCATTAACTGTTTATCAGGTGGTGCTCTAACTTCAATCACTTACTGAAGTCCTTTAACCGTGGATCGTCAAATTACAGCATGTTTCTGTATACTATATTTATGACTAAAGCTTTAGATGTTCAAACAGGGCCGGAAGCATAATATCTGCCAGTTAGGTTCAAGGCGTGCCCATACAGTCACTAAACGGTTAATCAGATTGAACTCAGACAAAGTAGCATGTTATAAATATCCACAAATAGTCAGTTTACTCGACTTTCTTATCAAGTTCTGATGACGTTGTCTAGTATGACAATAAAACCTGTACCAACCAAAACTCCAGTTCACAAAACAACTGTATTTAGTAATAAACATCTGTAGAAGATTTTCTCTTCGATGAACAATGGCCAGTATAAACCTGCAGGCCAACAGATGGTTTTACCATTTAGTATCGTCTATCTAAAGTTTCGCGTTTACTGTTGAAGTTCATGTATTAAAAAGAAACTTTAGATGAATTCTTAGTGTATACTATTTACTATGAGTTTAACTTACGGTTCACATTGCTACAGAAGAGAGTTCATTCTAACTAAATTTGCCATCGTAGTATTCGGTCTATTGTAAAAAGCCTAATTTTTTTCGTCGCTAAATGACTTTTTAATGTGTTATTTTATAACGCGTAATTATACTTCAGTTGAACTATATTCGCAAGTTATTGCTTTCTGTATCATCAAACAGACAGATGGACAAAGTCAACATAAAACCTTGCACACGAATGCATCGGTTACCATACTTCACACAAATACACAAAGAACTGGTGTATAGTAAAAAAGTGATATCGAAATAGGAAAAGTTGTCTGAAAGAATCAACAATTTCAAGACAAAGGTTATTGTCAATATTCAAGCCTTAGAAGACGTCAAAGAGTGAATACATCCGCCTACTGTGACTGATTTTCAGGCATGTTATCAAGAATTCTCAACCACTGACTCGTATGGTGTTGGGTACCGCAACCAGGCATTCTACATCTCCCCTCATGGGTTAGGTTAACAGTGGTGTCATGTCTTGGCCTGGGCACCCTGAACTCCCTTCCAATATCTTCTAGCTTGGCACATCGAGCAAGCTATCTCAGTTAATGAAGGTTCACAACCTCGTCAATCGACATGGCTAGCTTGCTTAATACTCTTCGCCTGACTTCAACATTGCACACACGGTGATTCTACCAAATGTGAGCAATGCTACAGTGATCAAAACTTGTAACCACTTCATATCTTCTTTTAATGGCCATATCTTATAACCTTATACGAGGAGAGGACGAACTACAGCATAGTATGCTCGTCATTTGATAGATATTCATCATCAGTCTGAAACTTCACTTACTATCAATGAGTCACAGGGGGAGGATTGTAGAATATTCTTTATAGTTCAGTTTACTTGTCTTATCTATGTTCTAAAATGAGATAATAAAGTAAATTTATAATTCAGGAATGTGTATGACAACGGTTTTAAAATATCAGGAGTAAAATAATTTATCCAATTTGAAAAGAACATGTATAGCAACGAAAACAGATTCGATACAATTGGTTTACTTCAAGAATTTGATAGAGCAGGAGCAGGTGAACATATGAATGATAAGAAGCCTGGCGTAATTGTTTATCACTCATAGTTATCATCGCTCATATCACTATTATTGTGGGAAATTCAACAAAGGAGGACAAAGGTGTATAAAAGTAATTCTGTTAGAATTTGTAGTGACTCGTAGGAAAAAAAAAGGCGTAATTGGCATAGATGATTACGATAAAGTTTCTGAGATTTCGATGGATACATTTATTTTATTGGAATTTATTGTAAACTATATCTCTCAGGCACATAACATTGATTTTGATCTTTTGGAACCTGTCACTTCTCATTGGAACTTCCGGGAATCCCTCTCAAAGCATGTCCTTAGTTGTCACTAGATAGTGATTCAGTTTTAAATAGAATAAAATCAAAATCAAATAAGAAGGAGCTAGTCATATGACATATGTAGCCAAAATGATCAGTATTAAGCGACAACCAAGGTGGTTAAAAAGATCGTACAAACTGTTTCTACACATACAGTTCCGGTTTCAATACTATTTATCTCCAAGGCTTCTGCAATTCAACATAGGCGTGTAAATACACTGATCTTGTAAACAGTTTCAAATAATGATTCTGAGGTTTCATAATTGTATTCAACTACATGTTAGAGGTTGTAATGATTCCCGTTGCACAAGAGGTGGCTATCGTGCTCCAGTGGTTTAGTGGATAACGCTCTGGCGTTTGAAGCGAGGGGTACTGAGTTCGTGCCTCAGTGACGTCCAGGTACATCCTAATAACGAGTCCCAAATAAGACGAAGCGCATGTCCTGGACTCCTCTTCTAGTCACCAAGATCAATGTAACTACATGTTGAAAGATTGGTGAATTTATGATTTCTACGCTCCCCTTTGTTCAGCGATGCCATTTCTGACTTCTTCGTCAGCCTACGAGTGAGTTAAGTAGTGTTACCGATCGGTACATTACAAACTGATTTTCCTATCGAGTTCTTAAAAGTTTCTGTTGTATCCCTTACTTCTCAGTATCAATTCTTCACATTCTCCTAGCCAAATTTATATCCATCCGTGTTTTGATTTGTCGTAGCATGTTCCCCACCGTTTAATGTTTCCTAAGTTGCTACTCTCAGATGACAGTTCTCATAGTTTAAGTCTTTTCAAGGTTAATCCGCTTCTATGTTTCACATGACAATAAACAGCGAACTAGTTGGTTGCGTTAGCCACTTCACTTATCCAGAGGGGGGGGTTCACATCAGCCTTGATGGGTTGGTCGGTTGCTAACGAAATCTCAACAAGGATACGTAGGTTATATGTTCCGAATGGTCATACACATTCGATCACTACTCCTTGTTTAGCAAATCTAGTGCATGATGGGATTACTCTATATCAGAAATATTGATGTAAGATGTTAATCCACGTTTAGGATCACTGGCAGCAACAGAAACTCCTTTTTAATTACTCAGTTGATTAGATGTAGGATAAATTGTTTACCTGAATGTTGTCAATACCAACTATACTATTTCTGTACAATGTACGAATCCTCTATCAAAGATATGTATTGGAGTGATTGCTTTACTATGGCTCTATAGACTGTTATTGAATGATGTTCAAGGTTAATTAGATTTTTTAGGGAACAGAAAACTTACAAGATAATTATCGGTTGTATTAGGTGTTGCCTCTGTACACAGGTTTAAATATGCTGAATCCTTGGTGGGTCTTGTAGCTCAGTTGGTAGAGGACAGGACCAGTGATCTGGAGGTCATTGGTTTTAACCCTACTGTGACTCTACTTTCAATCTTCGCCCAGTATTAAGTACACGTTGTCGCTGTAAGAATTCTCTCCACATTTGCATTTGTGCTTTTATTTATTTAACAGTTTTAATGTATCTTGCTTATTAACTTGTAAATTTCAGCAACATATACAAGATAATTTGACAGCAGAAGTAGTTCAAGTGAACAAAACCCGTGGTAAAGTCACTTCACAGAAAAGACAACCAACTAATACTAAGAAGCCTGTACACAAAAGTCAAGTTCTACTTGATTCAGAAAATGATTTCAGCGTAGATTCAGACAATGATGAAGCTACAACACTAGCAGATATGGTGGAAGATGTATCATCAGATGTTGAAATAAATTCTTCTCCAGTCAATCCCCCAAAAATTGATATCATACAGAAAACAACTAGTCGACGCGGACGTGGGCAAGGTGAAAGTGGTGGTATTAATCGTGCTTCAACTGTTGGCGGTTCAACTAGAGGCAGAGGAAATAATCGCAAAGTTGGTACAAAGTCAGCAGGATCAGCTGACGGTGACAAAAATGATCATCTTGATTTTGATTTTCGTCGAAAACGTAAGAAAGTTGAGTGAAACTTTGTCTTTTTCTACTTACTTTAGAGTTTATTAATAGTCATTTTGTCTGATTTCTTTCTATCTAATGAGATTTATGTACTTTTTTCGCTGTAAAGATTATATGTACAGACCATGTGTAGATAAAGCAAAGAGATTTTCTATCGACCTTTTTTTTCTTTCTATGAACACAGTCTACTTAAAGAAAAGAGATAACCTAGCGGAGAAAATTTTTTGTTTGCGATGATATTATTTCCTAAGGCTGTAAAACCGTATTCATACATATCGCAAACATATAACAGCCTATTGCTAAACAATAGGGTAGAGATGCATCACCGAACTAGTGCTAAAAACTGAAATCAAGAATGGAGAGGAGTTGCATAATAATCCCCTGAACAAAGAAAATAATAGGAAAGACAAGGTGAAAGTTGTTGGTAGATGTCAAATACGAAGATGGAGTGTCCACTTGATAGATATAATGAAGGTGAAGATAGGAACAGGAGTTATAGTGTATGTGATTATAGTAAACTAAGTAATTATGGGTGTGCACCGCTGAAAAGTTCCATACTAGGACGAAACAGCTGTTCAGTGCTCCCAGGTTTCAAATGTCCCTGCAACTAATGTCAGTTCACAACGAATTTCAATCTGGAATCAATTAATAGATCTCCACAAACCTCCAGATTGAATTATAATGAAATCGAACAAATGTGAAAGCTCTAAGACTATGGTAAGATAAGCGATTGAACATCCTTCTGCACGCAGAGATCGGGTTTCAATTGGTGAATTGCTAATCCTTCTACTGTGTACAACTGTCGAAAGTGTACTCCTTTTGACTGTAAATGATACTGAAGGTGGACTCTGGTGAACTGTTAATTAATTTACATTTCCCCTCAACAAACATGTAGGATAGTGCTCAGAGATACGTTTGGAAGTACGAGGTTTGTATAACTAGTCCCGCAGGAGGAAATAAATTTGTACACAGACACTGAGGTGGCTCAAAGCAGCAATTCGTCCTAAACACACCCCGAAACCAATTACTGACTAGAGAAGCCGATCTTTAGCTTTGCAAAGAATGTTTTCGTTATATTTTCGAACGCCAAAAGTTATATATTCCGAACGAATATAATACGCACGCTTAGCTGACAGCTAACTTAGTACGCAAAGGCCACTGACTGCAACCCCAGGGATGAATAGACAGAAGACCGAAGCTGGCAGATGGGAGAATTTATTACTCCGAGAATATAATATATTGATCAATCCGAAAACACATGAATAGGTACACACGTGAAAAATGACTTTGTCCTCAATTTGAGACATTCACATGGTAAGGGTAAAGAATAACCAATCAGTGGTTTACGTTACAATGGGGGCAGAAAACAGACTACTAGTCATATCGTAAAAATGGTCTGGAAATGACATGCTAAAATGTTCAGATCAATAACAATGTTTTGTACAAAACTGAGGTCTCACAACAGTTTTCTTCAGCAATTTCGACAGCCGATATGTCATGATTTCTGCTGCGGTATCACCTATGAGACCAACAAAGCTTTCGTTAGAGCTATGAGTACCTGCTCCATGACGTGTCAGTATTCAGTGCAGCACTACCCTACGTCCTGCTTTAAAGCTGTAAGACGTAGATCCTGAGAATAGGCGACAAATAAAAGGGCTACATTTATTTGTTTCATAGATGCTATTGAAGCGTTACCAATGTGTAGAACGGGACCAAGAAACGAAGTGTACGTGTGGAGTCCCACCTAAGATGGGATTCATCAAAGTTACGCTCACCATCAGTTATTTACTAATCCAATGTGCAGTCAGGGTTAGCAGGACAGAAGGAAGATGAGAGTGGAAGCAGTACTGAAGTTTTTAAGTGGGGGAATGGCGTCAAAATAAGCAATCATTTTCTGCCGGTCTTGTGATGAACTCTACTTATGAGAATGTATATCGGTAGTACATGGTGCACCGTCGGGAAACAAGAAGAGATAGCAACCAAGGCAAGAAAATACCTAGTAGGACACACTGGGGTACCGAAGTGAATGTTTTCGAATTTATTGGGAGGTCTCATATTTTTACCACTACCTATTGCTATTTACCAGTAAACAGTCTCTATGGTTCTATCAGCCTTCTCTTCAGTATGACCTGTATCTGGGCTCTGTAGAAGCCCAAGTTATTGTGCTTTTGTGTATGTTTCTGTAGATGTATGTATGAGGAACAGTAGGATTTACGAATGGTACACCAGGCTAACAAATCTTTACTTGGAAGTCTCTTACGACATTCATTAAGACCGAAAAAATGGTAGGATGATATGCTCATTATTACATCTTAAGCTTCCATGCTGATATTGTGATCCGAGTTGGTTTTCATATTCCTCTTTTTGCTAACTGCTTTTTCTGCGTTCGGATGTGTGGCGAGTAGACCTTATTGAACATTTTTTATGATTCCACTATAAGATTAGTTTTCCTGCCTTCACTCATATTCTTTAAGGTACTGTAAATGTCATCTTTCAGAAGAAGGCTATCCACTTCTAATATACTCAACACACATCTACAGCTTTGTATTTTAAGCATTCAACTTCTATGAAACTCATTACTTCACAAGATGAGGATTCTGGATGTTATTCTACTTGAAATCTCACAGTAGACACAGCTAACGTACGATGAAGCAGAGCTGAGGCACATTGTCACTCATCATATTTTGACGTAGAGGCCCTCATCATCTACAAAGCCTCATTTAATAGACACTGCAAAACCACAAACAGCTGAGGGAGAGCTGGACACAACGTTTAGACTTGGAAAAATTGGCCTATCTAGTAGTCCGTAGTTATTACCACTTCACATGGAATCGAAGGAGATGAGACCATGCAGAAACTATAGTTTTGAAAAGTCAAGTATGCGGTGCCTTATACCATGATTTAAAGTATAACAATAGGGGCAATAATAACAAAGTTTCGGGAATCGTAGTCTATTTGTCAGGTAGCAGTGGGAGCCAGCTGGTAGAATAGAGGCATCCGCAAAGAAGCCCAACTGGCAGCAGAGGTTTAGCACATCGAATCACTGCAGCAACGGGATATTACAAGTGTCAGTATCTCAAGGAGTTTATATGTTGTCAGCGAAAGATTTGTGTATGTGGGGATGGAGGGTAATAATATTATGGTCGCATAGGAATTAGATAAGATGTTAAAATTCTTAATCAATTACGAAACTAAGAGTAAAATATTAAATCGAAATTAGGACATGGTAAGGATAATGATAAAAGTAGTGGATAACGCGCTGGCGTTTGAGGCGATCGCTCCCGAGTTCGAATCCCGGTGGGAACAACACTCACTGGGAAGCAGTTACATCCAGCTGACGAGTCCCAAATAGGACGAAATGCGCATCCTGGATTCCGCTGCTAGCCACGACCCATCATTAACAAAAGTACGAACAGATGATATTTTCATTCATCCAGATAACCGGGGAAGAAATTGTAATTATGTGTTGAGGTCGAAGGCAATGGGAAGGAAAGGTACTAAACAAACATATTTTGAATACTTATGTTGGGTTCGAAAATTTTGATTGTTATGACTTCTGCTGTGCTTATCAATCGGAGTTGCACTTTGTATAAAATGGTAAACACTGACGTTTTGTCAATCCTATACTCAGTATCTACCAGATGGGTGAGTATTGAACTTTTGGCTGATTTTACATTTTTGCCTAACAATGCTAGATAGTCTTCATTGAAGGGATGATAGATTTGCCAGGTTTTTCCACCCATTTAAATATTTCAGCAGGAGCAGTTAAGTTTATGGATACACATGGATGTTGAAAAACTCGATAGCCTATCCCTCAATTACATTGGTATAATACAGTTAGTAGCAATATTCAACTACGGTCTTGAGACAAAGAAAGTTCTCGCCACTTGATTTCTGAGTCTCAGTGTAAGTGTTTCTGCAACTGCATCTCCCTTGAACCCTTAAGATAGATATGATCGTTTCATAGGTACCAACTGAAGACACTTTTCTCCAGCTGTTTTCATTGTCACAGTCCTTACGAACTTCTCAGTACAGCCATTCTCCTATAAGGAGTTCCCTATTATTTTTATTACATCGTTTAGTGTCAGCCGTGACAATCCTACTGGCTCGAAATATCACTATACGGATTAAATATTTTTTCTACGTTAAAAGGGACATATAATCGGAAACGCGTATACTAACTGGCTCATGATTTCTTACGAAATACACTGTTTATGATACTGCTATTTGTTTGTCTTGATAACAAAGCTTCCGTAAATGACAGGCAGTTTTTCTGTTTCACAGGTAACCTCAATTTCTGGATGAGTATTGTGGAACTTATCGAGAAGGATGTCCGGATTGGCATAATTTTTTATATAGAATGAAGGTGTCATTCATGTATCTGCAATCGAAAGACAGTTTACCCATCACGCTAAACAGTGGTCCACTTTTCAATTTCGCCATAAACATATCCGCTAGAACGTGATGTAATGGTGAACCCATTGCCACACCTTCACTCAGACGGTAAACTTTCTTTTTGAAATGAAATTATACATTTAAGCCAAACACGGTGGATTCCTTGATCTGTAGTAACAAGGACATGAAGCATGCTAATAGTAAATGTCTAGATAATAAAAATATCAATAAGGAAGCAACATCTACAGGAATCATCGTTTTGTTACTGATGTTCTTGTCTTCGACCCTTGAAATTAATTCAAAAGAGTCCTTTAGGGTATATTTAGCCACATTAAGTTGTAACGGTTTCAGTATATCTGCTAATCCTCTTGCTATTTGATGATATAGCGAAATGAACATGTCTAAGAGTGCATTATCTCGTCTGGTTAACTAGTTCACTAGTTACTAGCCGGTCCTAAACCCAGATAAACAGGGAAGTTTGAGAATACGGATAGCAACCTTACCTCGCAGAACCAATCCGACCGCTAAAGAAACTTTAAAGCACAAAGAAATCATAAAAAATAAAAACAAACTTATTCCTCGCTGGAACCGGAGAGATGAAATGACGCCGGTTAGTGAAAGCCTTCGGGAAGCCAGTCAGCCGATGTGTCTTCTCTTCACTCGATGAAAGCGAAAGTAAGGATAGGGATATGGGATCTCCGCACCATGTATGAACCCAGCAAGGCTGCCCAGATGGTCAGAGGTGAGAAGATATGGCGTAGGA